GGTAAATACATTAAAATTTATACCAATATGTTCACCTACACATGCACAAACTAAAAATCAAACTTATATTTCAAGGTAAAGTAAATATATAAAATATACCTCCAAAGTAAACTATAAAATATACCTCCAAAGTGAAGCTAGTTCTGCACGAAAATCCGGTGAATGCTCCAAGCGCTATTCTAAAGCATTAGCTTTTAAACTGACTTGTATTGGTAGATTTTTATAAAAATAAAAAGTCCGACGCTATTTATTAACCAATCTAATTGATTTTTACACATGTTGTAGTTAATAAATAAAGGTACAGATTGCCACAACAATGCCGAAAATCGGCCCAATATTAGTGGAGCTACGAAATAAAAACTTCGGGCGATTCGCCACATTTCGACTAAAATCGTAGGTTTTACACTGTAAAATTTGAAAAACTACGGTTACAAAAATGAAAAGTCCGACGAGATTTCGCAACCTTATAAATTAAAATTAAGGTTAATAAAACAATTATTAAATTTGGAATAGAATTAAAGAACAATGGCGAAAATCGGACTAGTAGAAGTGAAGTTATGAAGAGAAATGTGAGAAAAAATAGCGAAAATATCGGAAAATCGGACGTTTCGAATGAAATTAAATGGATTAGCGGCGTTCAAACTTATCTTAATGAGTCGTAAACCATGCTAGATAGAAATTATAGCACAACGGTTAGATTATTGCATACAAAATTACCTTCGGATCCTTCAGGAGAGTAAGCTGGTTTCAGCTTGTGGTGGGGAGGGTGCGAAGAATGAGAAACTAAATTCCTAAATGCGGAACAAAATACCAATCTCATTGAAAACTTAATGGTCATGATTTTTAGTAGTCGCTTACTAGTGGAATTAATTTGCTGCCATGGGGGAAGGGGTGTCCGTACCCCCATCCTACGTCCATGTCCTTTAAAATTAACAATTTGTGAATATATCTTTGTATATTATGATATGGGAAAATACCGTAATTTACAAATCTTCCCGGCTAAAAAATGTTACACTGTATTTCTCGAACAATCAAATAATGTTTTTGTTGATATCAGAATGGCGATCCTAAAGATAATGACGACGACGATGATGATGATGATGATGATGATGATGATAATGATGATGGAGATAATAATAATTAGGTTTGCCTTTCACATTCTGCGTTGTACAAGTCCATTCCCGTTCTATGTAAGCGTTTGACGACGTGGCTTTCACGGTAGCAGGCGATCGTTGCACGCACATCCTGGTTTCTGTTAAACCCGTTAGCGCAGTCTGTGCTCGGTTTCTGTCTCTTATACACATCTAGATGTGTATAAGAGACAGACACCACTGGGCCTACCGATCTATTACATTGTGAATTAATGTATTTTCCCCGGCTAATTAAAGTTATTATCAATGATGTATGTGGGAGGGGTGGAAACTCGATCTTACCCTAGTCGCTTTTCCACTTAATTTGTCGAAGCAAAAGAAATACGCTAAAGTTTTAAAATTACCTCATAACAACTAATTTTGCCAGCTAGATTCCTCTCACTTTATCTTGGAGCAATACCACTTAACGTTTGCCAGCCCATTAGCCCATTCGACCACCATTAGCCCCTTCCCCAATGTCAATACCCGAGATACGCCACTGCAAGCAAAGGTGGCAAAACTTGTTACATAGTTAAGGTCTAATCATGGAGGTGCACTATAATATCCCTGTGGTCTGTTAAGGGGGTACGTTTGAATTCAATTGTCATTTTAATGTTATCAATAAAATCATACATTTTTGTTAATGTGTGAATGTTATTGCGTCCAATAATATAGGTAGAAACATTAGGTAAACCCCACGGCAATTGTGACAAGTCTCCGAGGCTTAAGAACTACGAAATATACACAATGGCTGGGTGTTTACTGGAGTGCCGGCATAAACACATCGTCAATGAGTGTGGTTGCAGACCTATTCGGTAAGTAAATGCTATAAACAAATCCAATTAGGGGATTACGTGCATGACATGTTCATAATGTGGTTCAAAGAGTAGATAACTATATAATAAACATACTATACGTACAATAATTCAAATATTTGCAAATTGTAGCAGATCAAGCATAAGAATCCCCCACCGGAAGTCCCCAGTTATGGTGTCTGCAGGCAGTGGGGTGGCGCCAGTAGGGAGGGTGGCATAGAGTTCCTATATAGAGAGAGTTATGAGACGCCATATTGGGTCCTTCTATGCATAAGTGGACACAACGCCTATTTTACAGTGTGGCGATTGTATAAATATCAGGTAATTGAAAAAAAAAAAAAATATTAATAAGAAAATTTTATGTCATTTGATAGTAAATATCTGTTAAATAATGCGTGTTTGAAGTTTATAACAAAATTTAAAAAGAAATTAATTCCCAATAGGCTATAAATAATTATTATATTACATGTAGTTTTTGCTTGACCAAAGTAGATTATCTCCTTAGCTAGTCGTACAACATCGCGTTTATTCGGCTCCAAAAATAGTAGGAGACTAGGCCTAGGCCTCTTACGTCCACTGACGGTTGTATGCACTTTTTATTACCCAGCGCGATAAAAGTACGCCCACTATGAACTCAATAAGTAGAAAACAAAAGTACTGTATCTTGTGGAGAACATACAAATAAACAGACAAACCGACCGAATGTGTGCGGTGGAGTACTGGGTAATAAAAAGTACATACAAGCGTTAGTTGGCGTCCTACACTAGCTGCGTACTGGCTGCGTATGGCGTATTGTTTTTTACGCTCTCAATGAGCGTAGTTGGCTCTCTTGTTCTGTTTATACTCTTTGCTTACACCAAAGAGTATAAATAGGACAAGAGAGCAAAGTCCCGTTCATAAAAACGTCACGCCTGTGTAGGACGCCCACTAACGGTTGTATATTCTTTTTATTACCCAGTGCAGCGCTGCGCGGTAGTACGCCCGCTATAAACTCAGTAAGCAGAAACCATAAAGATATAATAAGAATACTAGAGCGCTAACAGCAATGTATTCGATGTTCGAAATACGCAGAGCTGTGTGTGTGTACCATCCAAGATGGCTGCCATAGATTCAGCCAATCAAATTTCCCATGAGCACTAT